TGTGATTATTTCATTCAAATAAATAGCAATTACATGAATTACATTACAGGCTTGTTTACTGATGATTACTAATTGGAAAAGGACTAGGATTACCTTTATGTTTAGGCAACAATTAAAAAGAATTTCTTCCACTAATTCCTTCTCATTTGGAGCAGATGTTTCTTATTTGGAGATTTTCTTTTGTTTAGATGGGGCTTCTCCCCGCCCCCCACCCCTTACTTGTATGGGTGTGACTGCATCATATGTTGGGTAAAAACCTTTGGCTTTGCTTGTGGCTTCTTTGAGGGCAATCTAGGTTCTGGATAGAGGCCTTGGTTATAGATATCCTTGTCAGTTGCCAGTTAATTGTAGTCTGTAGCACTAGTGAGCTATGTGTATGGGCAAATTCCCTGTCTCTCTTTGATGAGGGAGGATGGAGGAGGTCTTTGAAGTCCTTTCTCTTTCCCTTGCCCCGTGGTCTTCTTTATAGTGTGAATTGTATTGGCAAGCCTAGTTTAATCTCCAAGACAGTAGGTGGTGCTTGTGGGTAAGAATCAATGGCACCCTGTATGATTGATACATACAGTAAATGCTGTAAAGGGCTGTGCAAATTGACCTCCCTACCAGTAGGTAGCAATTGCCAGAAGGAACAAGCTACAGTGTTGTTTTGGAGACCTGTAACCAGCTCTAGCTGCTCAGGAAAAGCACTGGAATGCCCCAGGTGGCGGGTGGGACCTTGGAACATCCAGGTGAGTCCTAGTTCACCACTGCAGAGGTGGATGAGGGAGTGAGGGTGAGTATGGCTAGGTTGGATAAGCTTGTTCTCAGGCTCCACAAAAGCTGTTAGTCAAACTATGGCCCGAGGGCCACATGCGGCCCGCCAAAGACATTTATCCCACCCGCCTGGTGCTTTTGCCGCTGCTGCCAGTCCTGCTTAGCAGCCGACTCGTCCAGGGCCCACGGTGCGCATGTGTGGAATGTGCGCCGCACTCTTCAATGGCCCTCCAGCGGTCTGAGGGACAGTGAACTGGCCCCCTGTTTAAAAAGTTTGAGGACACCTGTGTTAAGGAGTCACTCCCAAGCCTCCAGGAAGGAGCTGAAGTGGCCCCACCCAGCCAGAAAGTCTGAAATCAAGCACTGGGGAGGGAGAAGTGGGAATGGGTGAAACCAACCTAACAGGTACAATGAACACTATCTGGGTAATGGGCACACTTGTAATCTTTACTCAAGCATAACAAAATCAATACATGTAACCAAAAACATTTGTACCACCATATTTTGAACTTAAAAAGAAAGAATTTCTGATGCTTCAGTATAAATTAATAAGAAAATAGAATTTCATTAGCAAAGTAAGATGTGCACCAATGGATTAGGAGTATACTTACTACCACAATGGAAGCTATAGAGACACAGCTAGCTATTCAGTTTTGATTAAGATCCCTGGCCCTAGATGTTGGTTAAAATATCTGTGTAGCTAGATTTTAGCAAGCTACTTATTTTTTTTCTATTTTTCTAATCTGCAAAATTTGAATAATAATAGTCAATTCATAAAGATTAAATTTTAGCTTCTATTTTACTTATAAAATAGAACCCCAGGGGCTTCTGGGGTGAGACACATTCTGCTTTGCTAAAAAATATCATTCCATTAAAACATTGAAAAATCAGTCCCAAGGTCTCTTCCAACTAGGCACATTAAGATGCCATACCAAGCATTTGGACATAGGTATCAAGAAAAGAGGCACCTTATCCTCACAAGCCAACCGTTGAGCTTGTATAGCTGGAACTCAGGGACACTCAGCAAATGACACTCTTCTAAGCAGTCCATTGCTTCAGTCCTCATGGGCCCATTGCAGTGCTTAGAATCACTGCAATTTACTACCTTCATGATATTTACTAGCATGAGGTCAATTGAGGACATGGCTAAAATAAACTCTTCTATTGATCTGTTTAAAGCATTTTCATGAAGAGAAATGCCTGAGTGGTTGATAAATGATTAACAAGCCCGAGAGAGTAAATCTTTAAAAAAAAAAAAACCGAAAAACAAAATAAAACCCAATGGAACATAGAAAGGACTAAAACAAACCACTGTTAAAACATGAACTTTGAGTTCCAACAGAACCTGAGTTCAAATCCACTTTTTAAAGCATGTAGGTGGTTTTGTTGAGTTACATGTCTCTTGCCTTCAATTCCCTCAAATGTGAAATGAGAAGCACATAAGTAATTGTTTATTGGTTTTTAATAAAGGTTAAATAAGATAATTTGGGGAAAGCAGTTGGCAGAATACCTGGGACACAAGAATGTTCCAGAAAGTGGGTCTGTTCTCCTTTACTTTTAACATTACTTTGGAAAACCATTTGGGGTTTCTTTTCATTGATAACTCCTTTGAACTTGAGATGGAACTAGGACAGAAATTAAGGCCAGCCTATTGAAACAAACCAATAACCAGTAGGAAAATGAAAAAAAAATCAGTCAACAATTCATTGTTTGATGGTTCTACATGATATAGATTTATTTTGTTTTTAAAAGACAAACTTGGATTTTTGTTTTGATTGAATTATTTAGTTAATCTATTACTGTGTCTTTAGAAGCACAGGGTTGTCCAGTTTTGTAACCTAAAAGTTAACAGTAAATTGATTTACATTCATGTTAAAATAAGCCCTTCCTTAAATTTCATACCTTCTAAAGGCTCGCACTCTCTGAAAAGAAGTACTGCTTTTATTGTAAGCAACAGTTAAAATAATATTCTTTGGGTTTAATTAGCAGTTGATTGAATGATTAAATATATGTTTAAAGTGGCCAAAAAATAAAATCATGTTATTGTACTAGGAAAAAATTCTCCCATTAACATTAATTGAGTTTTAACAAATGAACTGATTAGAAGGGAAGGAAAGAGAGACACAGTTCACCAAATGCAAGAATTTGGTGCCAAACGGTGCCAGGCACCTGTTTTCAGAGCAGACCTAATGTACTTTTGTCATGGCACCGTGGAAAAAATAATCACTGTCTGCACTTCTTAACAACAATACGCTTTCTAGTTAATGAATCATGCACTGAAACCATTTGCTTTTTATTTACTTGTTTTCTTTTACAAAGAATTTATATTCATTTTCTCTGAAAATTACAGAGGATAATCAAAATGCCATGCATTTATATGTCAAAGGAGCAGCAGAGATGATATGTAGTCATGGCCTAAGTTTGGCTTGACTGGTTTAATTTTCTATTTTTTCTGCCATAAGTAATGACTTATGCTGAGACTAACTCAGAAATATTAAAATATAGCAGAGCTCCAGGTATGAATGAGGATGTGTTCATGATAGCATTCAGCTGGGTCTAGGGGACTCATGGGGCCAAAGGAGTTAGAAAGAAAAGGTCATCATGCTTATTAGATGGAGTAACAAGTTCTCAAACGGGAATGGGGTAAGAGTAGATTAGAGCCCTGTGTCTGTGACTCAAATTTGTCATCTGATATAGCTGCCAGAGATTCATATATTAGTCCTCAACAAATAAGTAGCTGAAGTGGGAGTGGCAGAGGGAGGGGAGGGTTAGTCACACAGAATTTGAAAGACAACACCAACAAAGCCAAAAACAACTGTGCCTGCTGTTTTCATTCCAAATTCTGGGCTCAGATCAATGTTACTCTATAAGGGCTTGGGAGTTTTTCTTCCTCCCTCCACTGAGCACTGTGAGGCCCCAGCTCAAGGAGAGACCCAGCCCAGGATGCTGCAGCGGAGTGATCGCCCCTGGCAGGAGACAGTCCATCCTCAGCAGGGGCCAGTCCCTTCTCCAGCCTTGCAGGGGGAGGAGACCTTGGTAGAATCCAAAAGGACTTTTTGTTTGCTCTGGTGAATTTCCCTCAGAGATTCCCAAATCAGTGGCAAAGATTCCAAGGGAGGCTGGAGGGCCTACCATATTGCCATTAATGTGATTCTATTTTAACCCAGACTAGTATAACCTTAATTAACTCTTGTGAGAGAAGAACAAGGTTCTCTTCCACTAAGAGAAGGGATTGTGCATCATGGGTGGTAGGAATTGCCCCAGCTGTGCAGTCAACACATCCGAGGAGACTCACGCTGCCCCACATCCTGTGTAGCAGGCACAACCCCAAATAAATCTCTATGAGTGCTTATTCATTTAACCCTCACTGCAAGCCTGCTACTATTCCATCTTACATTTGAGGAAACAGAAGCACAGAGAGGTTAAGTAATTTGCCCAGGTCACACGGCTTATAAGTAAGTGGTGCATCTGGGACCTGAGGTAGACAGCCTGATACCAAAGCCTGTCCTTTGACCATTAGGCAACACTTGTGCCTGGCACAGAAAAGGTGCACACTGAATGCTGATTCAAATCATTTTATTGAGGAATTAAAAATGCATTGAGTTTATAACTCTGGACTTAACAGACTGATTACTTTTAAAAGCAAATAGAAAAATGCTTACAAGTACACGAAAATGAAATAAAATCTGAAATTATAAGAACACGATAGAATGATTTCTTAGACTTTCTGATTAAACAAGGAAAATTTCTTTATGCTTTCAATGTCTTCTTATTCCCATGAGGAAACTAAATTTCCAGGAAGTTCTGTGACCAAGCCGCAGAGCTGACAAGTAAATTAGTCTGCGTTAGAACTCAGGACTCCCCTGTTCCTCTGCCCCTTTCCCCCAGTATCACATTGCTGCCTAGTGTCAGGGGAAGAGATTATTCCACCCCTGCCTGCTCCCTGGAGGTTGGTAACTTGAGCTGCAAAGTCTCTAGGGTTGTACTTCTTTTGTTCTTCCTCTCATCTAGTTGACAGGCAAAGGACAATTAATGATTGAATATTCTATTTAATTATTTTTAATCCTACTGAGAATCAACCAACACTAACCGTTAAAAAGGAGGAAAACAGATAAAACACAAAGTACAACCACCCTGACTTCAGGCACAAAGTATCAATACTTGTTCAACTATGAGCCAGGCAATTAAACAGCAAAAATAAAGAACAACTAAAATAAGTCTGAAAATCCACCAGTCTGTTCACTCACCTTGCTGTGGAGAATGATAGGCAGAGGCAGTAACACCACCAGACTGAAAACCACGAGGAGAAGTCGACGATAAACAAAAATATAATTGAGAAATTTCATTGCCCCAAGAAGGTGTCTTTGATAGTGTCCTCCTCGACATAAGGTAGATGTTAAATAACCAACCTGGATTAATATTTTTCCAGCCCATCATCTTCGCTCACTGTCCTAGACTGACTAACATCAGTTAAAATTAAATCTCATTTTTAATTGTTTTACTATCGCAATTACCATGAAGAGATAAGCTCGAGAGTGTTGACAAGAAATCATAAACCACTTGCTCATGTGGTTTTTGAAAAGTAAAACTGTTCTTTTCCTACATTCTTTGTTCATGTTAACTGCTATACAGACTGGACAAGTCTAGGAAAAGGTAAAATCGTGAAGTCATGTTTGCCCACGATGAGGTTCCTTTGCCCCTTCTGCTGTCCCCTGACTTTCTGACTCCCTAACTGGAGTAGTTGCAGCTCTGTAATGGTGCCTTGAGCAAGTCTCCACAGGCTTTCTCCACTGCCCTTGCTAAGGAAGTAATGTGTAAATTGTGCAATGTGTAAATTGAAATAGCAACTTCAATAGTAGGGATTTCAGTGCATGGCAATGTGGAAGGGAAAGGTTTTTTTTTTTTTTTATATAGTTGGATTTGGGAGGGCTTCTTAGATAATATATTGAGTCAGCCTTCTGCGAAATTTATGACAAATTCTCCCTATTATTTAAAAGCAAAGTTCTGTGCATTTCTTGGATCCTACTGCTTCTTTTGATAGGAAACCAAAAATAACCATATAGGCTTATATAAGCCCTCCACTTTAAGACCTTTGCAGGCTGAACTTGGTGCCATTGTGCTGATACTGACTACATAATTATCAGGGAATCTGCACAGGGATGAATCATTAGGGCCACCCAAGGTGTGTGTGTGTGTCTGTGTGCACATGAGCACTATGAAGATGGGGATTCTTCCAGTAGTGATATGGAAGGTGTATTTTGAAACTCCTCAGGGACAGGGACTCTCTGGTTTGTTTCACATTGTGTTGTGAATTAATCATCCAATAAACCTCAAGTAAGCAAGGTGTATTTTGAAACTCCTCAGGGACAGGGACTCTCTGGTTTGTTTCACATTGTGTTGTGAATTAATCATCCAATAAACCTCAAGTAAGCAACTACTGGCCATAACTCCCAGGCATTGCCCTATGAAGGGGATACTGTCTGAGTGCCATGTATGAGCTGAGCTCCCAAACATTTTTAGATAATGTGTTTCCCTGAAAATAAGACCTACCCATAAAATAATCCCTAGCAGGATTTCTAAGCATTTGCACAATATAAGACCTAGTGATGGGCGTGGCTACGCAGTGCAACCCATGCATGTCATCCCAAAGTGGTAAAGAAGATGAGCAGCCCTTCTCATCTGCCCCAGGAGAGCTCTATTGCTCAACATGAGAGATTGGGGCCAATGGTTCTACAGGAAATAGAGTCGCAAGAAATTCAGGATGGAATTCGGGGTTTGGAGCGTTATGATGATGTTCCAGAAGAAGATGACTTAACTATATTTGAATAAATGTAGATTGTTGTACCGTATTTAAAAAAAATAACACATCCCCTGAAAATAAGCCCTAGGGTGTCTTCTTGAGGAAAAATAAATATAAGACCCCGTCTTATTTTGGGGGAAACACGGTACATTTTAAAACTAAGATGATTTTTTCCCCTCTGGCTAACATCCAGTAATCATTTACCTTGGTGCTTTTTACTCTTTTCCATTTCTTCATGCTCACCTCTCTATTTCTTAAGGTAATGAATCTTCTTGATGAAAGAAAAGCATATAGGTGACATATGTAGTAAAATTTCCAGGCCCACATCAATTAGCTGTATCAGTTTTTATTTTCATTACCTAAAATAATTATCTAAGGTAGAATTTTATTTATAGATTCATACTCAAGTCTCTAAACAAATTGGCATCATTTATTATTAACCACACTTTGATAATTATTCTTCCAGTATCATGAAATAAATGATTAACTGTTCAGATGAAAATTGAACTGTGACCTACGAGGTGAGGACTTGAACTCCCATGAACCGAGAAGCAAAGCGAATTCCAAAAAAGGAAATCTCCTCTAGCAAAAAACAGCAGCTGCCAGAATATCTCAGCACGGAAGCCAAGACACAGCTGGTCACACCCTTCAGCAACGTGGGGAGAAATGCTATTTTCTTGACCAAGCCTCACCACATTTTTATTTTGGGTTCTCTGGGAGATGAAAGGGGAAAATTCAGGGGGAGGGGAGAGAGAAGCGAGGATGTAAGGAAAGAAGGGAAGAGAAGAGAAAACGTTCCGGAACATTTAACATTCTGTTAGAAAAGGGAAGTTGAAAAGAGTTCCCTCAAATATCTAGAATGCTGTTTGCTGTTGCCTCTTCCCTGTTTGTCCCTCGCTCCCCTGCCTAGCTGCCCCGTGCGACAGTCATGTTCCAGCAGTCCTGACACATGTGACAGTCCTGTAATCCGTGTGAGAACTTTGAAGGTGTTCAGAGAGGAATCCCGAACTCCTGGATGTGGCACTTACTAAGTCGCTACCTGGTAGGCTGGTGACTGCTGTGATTCTAGGACTGTTAGAAATGGAAATCTACACACATGGATCATGTAGCACTGCCATAGACTCCCAGCAGAGCCAAGGGTCCACTCTTCTTGTCAAGTCAGGAGGTTTCCATGTAATTCAAACTAGTCACTCAGAAAACTGCTGTGCATATAGCTTGAGAGACTAAAGACACTAGTGAGGTAAATATTTTCCCCTGATCATCTCAGTTCTGCTACAGATTCACTATTGCTCACAGCCAGATATGTCCATTTTTCTCTCTCAGAAAAAAAAAAAAAAGCAAAAACCTGATATTTCTCCCACCATCTTTACCACCAAAAATATTGTACCTTTGGAGCATCTCCTATCAGTAATAACAATGAAAAGATAAAGTGTTGACCTGTTTCCTAAGGGTGAATTGATTTTAAGTATAGTAAGTGCCATTGACACAGTCCAGCTTCCTGTCAAGCTGACCTATCTTCTTTGGAAATTATTTTTTACCTAAATGTAGAATATCTGACAATATGTTATTAACATGAATATGGGACGTTAGCCAGGCTGCCCTCTCGCAGTAATTTTCTGTTGGCATAGCTACAGCATTCACTGCTCTTCACCACTCAGCTTCTTTTATTATTTGGGGTTGGTGGCTCTTGGTTCAAAACTGTTACTTTTAAAGAAAATTCAGCATTTAAAGGAAATGTGTGCCTTACATGTTTCAAGAATAAACACTCCAACATTTGACAAGTCCTTTATGTTTATATTTTTGTTCACTTTCTTTATCATAGATCCATAGAGATGTATTTTCAGAACAATATTTTCTTCTCAACATATGTCATTGTGAAGATAAGACACGTTAATTGACAGACAGACCATGAGGATAGGGCTTACTTTACACTTTTGGCCCCGATAAGCAAATGATAGTGCCAAGGAGTAGTTTAATCTGTTAGAGGTTTTAGAAGAAAAGAGGCTACTAAAACGGGCCCAGATGTAAAACTTACTAGTGAGTGAATTGATGTGAAGATATTGTGCCTTCATAAGGGAAAGACAGCCTGCCCACAGCAAGGAACTTCAAGTGACTTAGTAGAGCCTAAGACAAGTGCAATCAGAGGGCAATTGATTCTGACTGCTCTGTTATTTTGGAAAACAATCTTCGTTTTCATAATCCCTAAATCAATTAATTATAAATTCTCATGGCAAGAGTCTTGGCCTAATGTGGCTTTCTTGGCCTAATGTGGCTTTCTGGATTTTTTTAAGAATCATACCAACTCTGGTTTAGAAAACTGTTCTAAAGGCCCCATGAAATATCCATGCCAAACAGCCCATTCTTTCTCAACCCATTATTAAATACCTCTAATGATGGATGACTCATTCCTCATTTCATAAACATCTCCTTTCTTTTCTTTGAGACTTATTTTCCTTTTGAATTGAGACAAAATTTGTCTTCCTATAGCTTCATCTACTGTTTTACTTCTGCTGCTTGTGATCATGAGGGGGAAAAACTCAAGCTCCTCTTCCACATGACAGCCTTTATGCATTTGAAGTCTTCCCTTTTTCAACTATTCCTCATGTCTTAAATTTTAAGTCTCTTCACTATGCTGGGCACTTGTCTCTCTATCTCTGGCCTGTTTCCTGAGTTAAATGTTCTATTTCAGATTCCGTTTGTTAGTGAGGAGCAGCACTAGACTGTCACCAACTTGGTTGTGGATGTGATTCTTATAGCAATGCAGGCTAAAGCATGAGCTTTTTTATAGTGATCCATTACATTCCAGAAACACTTTGAGCTTACCATCCAATAAACATTCAAATCCACATATTTGATAATAGCAACCTCTATATTTTTATCTAAAGTCATTGACAATATATTCAAGCAGTTCCTTCCTTCAAATACCTTCCTTCAAGATGACACTCTTACATTGGAAAGCAGATTTTGGGTACTTGTATTAACTTGGGTCCACCAAATTGTCACCTATTAGTAGTCCTTTCTAGAATCTGGCCCAAGATTGGCAACTAACACTGATGTACAGTTAATAGCAGTGACTTTTACCTTGTTGACAATCAGTATGGTATCTACCTGTCTCCTATCTTGGAGCAAAAATCCACATTTCCTCTAAAATATTTGAAATCTACAATCTAGAAATTTAGGTTGTACATCTGATTATGTCTTCCCTTCCATTCCTTGACTAGCATAAATACTAAAGAGGACAAAAAGAATTTTTTCTAAGGCATGAGTTACTTTCAGCTTTACCAGTCAATTATTTCTCTATACTTTGAAATATGTATTTGTCTGGGCAAGAAGAGTCAGTAAATTATACTTACTGTATCATTGATTTCTCCAAACAAATAAGAATTATCCTTCAATAATTATTCAAAAATAAAAAAATAATGTTTATATTTTCTAGAAAGGAAATGTTATCACCGCTAAATGTGTGTGAATGCATATGTGTGAGTCTATCAACAAACATCCAGAAAAATACATGCGGCATTAGTGTGACCCTAGTATAGGAAAACACTAAAATGTTCCTCACTGTTCTCTCTTCCCTCCTTTTTTCCTGTAGGAATGTTATGTCCTGGGCAGACTCAGCAAAAGCCATTCAGGGATCTCAGGAGAGGCCACTGAAGAAAGAGAGAAGCTGGATTGAAAAGGACCAAAGGTGAGTGAGTAGATTTCAGAGGGTCTGCAAGGTCAAAATTATATTCATAATAAGAAAATGATATTATTTGCATTTTCATCTTTTATTCACTTACAAATATACAGTGTAATTTTCCAGAGGCTACAAATATGTGATATGGCAATAGACTGAATGCAGAATTCAATTCTTTTCAGTATCTAAGACATCTGTAAAAAAATGCAATAAGCTTTCCCTGTAAGATCTGTTACAAGGATGCTCACTCTTACCAATGATT